CATAGGATATTCATATTTTACTAAAACTACCTGTACTGCACTCGACCCGACTCAAGCTAATCGCCAGCGCATTACATAAATGATGAATAAAACGGTGTTAAGTAAAAAGATTGGCAGTAGTGTTAAAGGTACCCGATATAAACGACTCGAAAAATATCGTGGTGCATAGATGGGGACAACGAGCAATGTGGAGGTGTGTCTCATTGTTAAGGTGATGAAGATAACCAAAGAGACAGTTGTCATTCCGTTCAGACACTGGGCTAATGCTCTTAAAAAAACAAGTATCGTGAGGACAAACTAGAGTAGAGGAGTTCACAGCATGCGTCATCGGAAGAACGGTATAAAAAAGTAGAAAATTGGTGTGAAATCGGCAGAAGATCAAATGAAAAGATGTCTATGCATGCATAATAGGGACGCCGACAGAGCAAATAAAAAGGCACAAGTGCAAAAATGCTGCTTATACAGTTGATGTAGACTGCTTTACAAATGGTCGCGTTGGACGCGAAGCACACAAGATGGCAGGAGGTTGGAGTGTGATCTGCTGCAGTACAAACAAGAGCCAAGACACATCGACAAACTGATGACTTACCAAACGATCTCGCAGTTCTTGCTGTCGTCTGCTTTGCTCTAAACTTAGTCGAGCCAACAACTGAACCAGATCTGATCGACGTTCCGCCAAACACTGCAGATTCAATTCGGCACTTCTTGACTTGCGTTCCAATTCAACTTTGGTTAAGCGCAACAACTCTTCTTCAACAAGCCCGATGTCTTGATGCAACTGTTGTGCTTGAGAATCACATCTGGACTGAAGTTCAGCAAACGCTTTTTTCTGAAAATCGTCCTGTGTAATAAAGGATGAGAGTAAATCAAAAGTAAATAACCGCAAAAAATCAACTGTGACAACTCATAAAACAATTGTACCAAGTAATACGCGGAAAGGCGCGGTGGACCAACCATACTGTTCACAAAAGTACTACGCATAACCCCTGAAATCTATGGCGACGTGGTCTATATGGTCAGCTACAAGAATATGTAAAGTGGTACCCAGTGTGCCTCCAGACAGTATTGTTTAAAAACAGCCGATGTCCGGCACACTGTTGTACCAAACGCACATTATTGTCTGTGTGTTCGGAGTTAAATGCAAGCATACTACTCAAATGAACTTTCGAATAGCTCAGGTAACGTATTTATGTAATCATATCCCCTGTAAAGAGAATGACATCTGAAATGGTAGATCTGCGAAGTAACGTGTTAAATTCCTGATAGAAAGTGTCGCTGGGAGAATCCGCGGCAATCACGAACACCATCGAGTGCTACGAGTCAGAATAAAAAGGGAATTTCCTGTCCTAAATTTCCAAAAAGAAAACTCCCTGCTTCTGGTGTGAAAAGACTTCATTGTTTGGGGAGCCTGAAATGTAAGTTGGCATTCGAGCCTGTACGGTTTGCATTTTTGACCCGGTGTTTCTGACAATCGTTACATATGTCGATTCGTGAACGACTTCACAAAAGCAAAATACGCCCTATGATTAATTTGGAAAAGCTTGCTTTGAGATATAAACTTGTTTGCAAGGGATAAACCAACTCATAGAAACAGTTCAACGCTACCTATCGTTATGAGGATCTTTATCACTTGTGTGTCGAATCAAATTTGAGAATACCTGCCACGATGTTACCAGAAAGAGGAGAAAGACCGCAATACTCAAGTTCCAACGTACCACTTCAACTAAGCTACATGGGGGCTAGTTCCCTGATAATTACTCCAAATTTGTCTATACCCTCATCCTTCTCTCACGAAGGGCTGCAAGCTGAAGTACTATCCCTCGGAATGGGATTCAAAGCACTTCCTCGTCAGAGTAACAAAGAATCTATCAATGCGAACTTTGAGAATCTCTACAGTCAGCTTATGTTCTCGAACCCAAACACCATCCACCAAGGATCCTTGGTTAAAAAACAAATTAGTAAACGTCACATTATTTTTAGTGCCCCAATACAACAGCAGACTTGTCTAACTGCAGAGCACTACAAAGCAATCCGTGAGCTGGAAGGCAACCAAGACGTTAGCTTGAAGCCTGATAGGCGGTTTGGAGTGGTCAGCTCAGACAGGCCAGATTATTTAAGTAAGATAGAGACAAGACTATCAGATAGCACAAAGTTTAAGCAGGATACCGCCTTGGACACAGTTCGTTTGGTCGAAAAGTTTGTCGCAAACTACAAGTCTTAAAACTTCGTGACTTGATCTCTGAAAACCAATACCAGGCATCAAAACCTGTTGGCACCCAAATGTACGGCTTGCGTAAAGTGCATAAGGAAGGAATGCCTATGCGACCAATTATTTCCATGGTCAATTCACCGTGCCACGCCACTGCCAAATGGCTGAACATGTTTGAACCTGTCAGAAGATATATAGTAAAACATATATTGTCAACCACTTTCGAACTATTCGCATTACATCTCACTGAACGGGACTGTTGATCATCTCGGGTGAGTTTATTTCAAAACATAATATATGACTACAGCTCCCCACGAAATGGTTGAAGCACATGCTAATTCTGTGCATGGAAGACATACAGTTTTACTCTCAAGGGAAAACTTATCAACAAACAGACAGTCTTGCGATGGGCAATCCAAGAGGCTCTTTGTGGGCAAATGTGTTCATTAGCATAATCAAACGGAAGGCAGATGAGATGATAAAAGCAGGGATTATTTACATACGTTATGTGGATGATATACTGCTTTTCATAGATTCAGACGAGGTTATCATGCGTGCGAAAGGGACACTCAGCAGTATGGATTCGATGCTTACAGGGACGTGTAACATGCAGCAAAATAATTGTCTTCTATAATTAAGCATGCTGATCACAAAGCGATTGGATAGTTCGATCAGGTCAGTTTGCCGAAAAGCAACATGGACAGGTCAGTATTTGTACTGTAAGGGTTTCTGCCCAATGCAACACAAACATTCGCTTTTCCGGACATTGCTTCATCGAACCCCCATGATTCGCATCTTGGACACATTAGAAGCAGAGAAAGATTGCCTGTTCGTGACATTACAATCGAATTGTTATCCGATTCAGTTTATAAAGCTCAGTAACAACAACCAAGCAAGATCGCGTAACAATAGTTCAAAAGAAGCCCATCTACATCGAACTGCAAAGGTGATCATATCATAAGAATCACTGGGAAACGTATTAGTGCGTATAGTACAGCCGAACTGGGATTGCTCACGTTAACAAAAGCTTTGCTTATGTGTTCCATCAAGACACTGATAACAAAGCAATGCATGTCTCATTGCTTGTAAAAATTCATTTGTAGCTGCGCAGACTGCCAAGTCGAGCGCACTGACCGAAGTTTAGGTGTCAGGATCAATGAACACATTTCCAAGTGGTTACGGAATCGGATGGGATCAGTGTCGATGGGATCAACTGAGTTGAGGAATTGAGCTACCTCGGTAATCGCAAGACACTTGTTGAGCATCGGTCACCGAGTCAATCCCGATTAGTCAATCATCGTCTTGTTATGCAATCAGCGGCCCCACATGCGCAGACTGGTAGAAGCCATAGTTATCTATCTGGAGTGGCCACTGGTTTGGTTACAGAAACAGCTGGCCGTGGTAGTGTGAGGCGTGATCATTGGCTAGCAACTGATCTCACAGGACCGCGTTTTATATATCAATGACTGACGATCTTGTACGAAATGACAGAGCAACCTCACAATGTATGTATTGATTATTCTGTTTGAAATTAACCCTAGTTGATACTATCAAACAAGCAGCACCCATGATTATAGTTCTCATCGGAAGCGAGATGGAGAGGCGATGGCCCAAACCCAATTTTATGGAAATGGATGCGAACACATTTAGGTTTAAACTAAGACGTCTTTCCATCGAGATGGGAAGGGATACGGAGTGAAAAGATGTACTAAAAAAATTGGTTCCTCACCTCAATGGAAATCGCCGCTGCCAGCTGCTTTTGCTTGTGCTCCTTTTCAGCTAGGACCTGTTCGATATTATCAGTGGCTGAAATTCCAGCGTCCAAGATTCGTTGATTGGTACTACTCCGTCGAGCAAGGTAGACCCGATATGCCTGATCCGCAGCACCAAGCATGCTCTCCATTGAGGCTTGGTGATAAGCAAAACAGTAAACAAGCCAATTGAACTGAGTGTCAAGAATCATAAGTTACCGCCTACATGTCGATATGCAGGTGACAAGGATAATTGTTGTACAGAAGATGATTTGAGAAGCACTCAAAAGTAATAGTTGTAGAAACAGGGTCAATTCTCGCAGAAATCATAAAAGATCGGCTTATGTGAATCTATCCACTTTCCAAATCGGAATTTACAATAATGGGCTATAACTGTTCTTTAACTGATAACGGTGTAGATCTGCCGGATTTAAATCTCGTCATAAATTTAGGATTTCAAATCCATTCGTTCTGATTTGATAAGCTCCGGCTTCTTGTTTCACATCCGTGAAAGGTGATGTTTCCCAAGGTCATCAATATGCCTTTCAATTTCAGACGCTCAGCAAAGGAAACCAAACCTGAGATCAGAAAATATGTATATTATCAGCTTCAAGAGATATGTTACTTCCGGCATGCCACAAAAGAAACAAGTGCATTACAACAGAGCAAGGGCGGCAGCAGATATGGAAGAGAAGGGGGAAAATGCGTGGAATGCTCCTTTTGGGACCTAATTAACGCACCGTGATCACTCTACGCAAGTATACTCTCTCGCGCTGCGAGAAATAGGCCCAATTAATCATCGACACTTGCTGCGCGGCTGAAAGATACGCGTGGACGCAGTTGGAGAACAGTTTCAAAGGTTATGGGACAAGCCACTGGTAAATTTTCGTCAATCAAAGACACAAAAGAGCTAACGAACCATTTGTCCAATCTTAAGGTCGCGAGTGTTGTGACGCCCAGTACGCCTTCACCCCACGACCGCAAGAAGAAGTCCAAGATGAGCCGGGATGAACAGATTTTCTATTACAGCACGGCACCAGTTATATAGCTTTACAAACAAGGGCGAATCCAAGCTACTAAACGCATGAGATCCAACAGGCATGGAGAAAACACAAAATGGAACAAGCAAATGAGAATCGCGAAAATTACGAGCCAATGAAGTGCGGCAAAGAAAATAGTGTCTGCGGAGTTAATCCCTGGGGGTAACCTTCTGGTGAGCGACCATTAAAAACGACGAGTAGCGTCCAATCAGTGTGGAGAAGTGATGCGTTTAAACAAATGCCAGAACAGTTGATAGGGAGAATGGTACACACCAGGAAAATAAAAACAGGTATAATAAATATGTGTCGGCTGAATAATACATCCACGTGAAAAAGCTAAGGAACGCTGAGCAAAAGAAACCAATCAGAATGTCCACAGAATGAGACGGCTGAAATTAGCTGTGAGCGATTGCGAATGAGGCTGAAGAAAGCGGCGTGTCCAAAATGTAGCAGAGAAGCAGGTAACTGCGCGAACAAAGAAATAGGCAACTAACATAATTCATGAAACTGGAGGTTAAGTAGCCAGCTCCCTAACATAAACCCCTTTTAAAAAGTTAGTTATCTGTACGGAACATAGCTTTTCCGACGCGGGTCCACTTGAAACGGCTGTGCAAAGCTTTTTGTTCGTGGGGGTTTATTCCGACCTTCCTGTTCCGGGCATTCGCTTGGTTGAATTTCTCGGCGTGAAGAAGCACTTGGTTTGCCATTGTCAAGCAACTCATTAACATCAAATCTGTTGGCATTCTGAACATCACCTTCCAGTGTACACCGCGGTTTCAGCTGATTTGCGTGACGTCTCCATACCTGCGCACCAACTTGAACATCGTACATCACCCGTCCCCGACGTCGCACGATGCGTCCTGGTATCCAGCTGATCCGCCGTCCCTGAATAGCCGCTGCAGATACAAATTCGCCAACTCTGAACATCCTTCTCCGTGCTCCGTACCGCCTGTTGTATTGCTGCTCCATTGCTAAGTTCCTTGTTTGTGGGAGAGGACGCCTGGGTGTCAGCAAATCCAGTGTAGTTCTCAATCTGCGACCCATTAGGACTTCAGCTGGTGACTTCCCATCGGGTGCATTGGGATTGGGAGTCACTCGATAATTCAGTAGGAACCGCTCCAGTCTTTCGTCCAACGTTCCCTCGCCTTTTGACTTCAAAAGTGCTCTTTTCAGGGTATCGACAAATCTTTCCGCTTGGCCATTTGACTGTGGATAATATGGTGCTGTCCTCACGTGCTCGATTCCATTTTGTGCGCAAAACTCGGCGAATTGATAGGACGTAAACTGCGATCCGTTGTCGGAAATAACGGTTTTTGGTAGGCCATGCTGACTGAATACATGTCTCATTTCCGAGATCGTGCTGTTTGAGGACGTGGTTTTCATCCGGATCACTTCCGGCCACTTACTGTACGCGTCAACCATCACAAGAAATTCCACACCCTCGACTGGTCCTGCGAAATCAACATGTATGCGCGACCAGGGAGATTCTGGATTCGACCAAGATTGCAATGGCACACGCACCGGCAGTTTGGATGCACTGATGCATCTGGAACAGGATCGACCGATATCCTCAATTTGGCTGTCCATCATCGGCCAAAAGACGTAGCTGCGAGCGAGTGCCTTCATGCGGGCGATTCCTGGATGGCCCTTGTGCAGCTCTCTTAGTATGCGCTGTCTGAGCACTTCTGGAATGACTATGCGATCTGCGAAAAACAGACAGGAATCAACTTCCGACAATGCGCCTCGCCTTGTGAAGAACTGGGTCAAAGCTTCGTTCGGACACTTCTTTGGCCATCCACTTCTTGTATAGGTTAATACTTCTTGTAGCACAGCGTCCTGTTTAGTGGCTTGCGCAACCATTAAACCATTCACTGGCAAGTTACACACTGCGTCTTGTATCATGTAGCTGACGTCCGATTCGGCTGCAATGGATGCAATGACTGCGTCTTCTTGATCGCGTCTACCGGTATTGATCAGTCTGGACAGCGCGTCCGCTTTGTCAGTAGAATCAGTGGACAAATACCGCATGCCAAAATCATACCCCAGGAGCAGAGTTGCCCAGCGCTGAAGTCGACTGGCTGTATATGTCGGAATGCCTTTCTTAGATCCAAAGATTGCCAAAAGCGGTTTGTGATCAGTCATCAGCGTGAATCTTCTGCCATATATCATCTTATGAAATCTCTGTACTGCAAAGATGATAGCCAACGCCTCCTTCTCAATTTGACTGTAGTTCTTTTCAGATGCGGTCAGCGCTCGTGCCACATGTGCCACAGCCTTTTCGGACCCGTCTGGAAAGCGATGTGAGATGACAGCACCAATTCCATAACTCGAAGCATCCGTAGCCACGACAATCTCCTGCTTCGGATTGTAATGCGTAAGGAGCAAATCTGATTTCAGCAGAGATTTGAGTTTGTCAAAAGCTTCTTGACACTGTGCGGACCAGTTCCATTCAACATCTTTCATCAACAAATGGTTTAAAGGATGACGTAATCGATGCATGCAAGGTAGGAACTCACTATAATGACTCACCATCCCAAGGAATGAGCGCAAGGTTGTGACATCCGTTGGTGCCGGTAATCTGTCTATGGCCTCGATATTTTCAGGATCAGGCCGTCGACCGTTCTCGTCAATCACGAAACCCAGGAACTTGATGGATTTCAGGAAAAATTTGCATTTGTCAGCTCGCAACCGGAATCCATATTCCTTAATTCTCATCATCACGTCATCCAATCGTTGAAACAATTCCTCCTGGGTTCCGCCCATTATGATGATATCATCTAGATAGGCTGCTGCTCCCGTCAAGCCAGTCAACATAGCGTCCATAACTTGTTGAAAGATTGCAGGTGCAGTTTTTACTCCAAATGGCAAACGATTATACTGGTAAAGGCCGCGATGCGTGTTGATTGTTAGAAGCTTTCTGCTTTCCGGTTCGACCTGCAGTTGCAAATAAGCGTCTGCCAGATCCAGAGTAGCAAAGTACTTGCCTCCATTCAGCTTTGCAAACACGTCGTCTGGGAGTGGAAGCGGGTACTGATGGGGTTCTAATGCAGCATTCAAGCCGGTTGAAAAATCTGCACACAAACGAACTGAGCCATTCGGTTTTCTGATCACAACGATAGGCGCCGCCCATTGTGAGAAACTGACTTGCTCGATCACTCCGGCCTGCTGTAATCGATCAAGCTCATGCTCCACGAGTGCTTGGGATGCGTGAGGGACTGGACGTCTGGGTCGGAACACTGGCTTTGCCTCAGGAAGCAGGGTAAGCTTTGCCTGCATTTTCGTGCAATGTCCAAGCTCTGATTGAAATACACATGCATACTTCGATTGAAGCAGTTCTGCAATACTTTGACCCGGCTGATTCGATACGGCTGTATGAAGCACCGCGACATTATTCTCAGAACAAATGTGACTCAATGGTACGTCGAGTAGATGCAGCTTCTCGATCCAATCGATGCCGAGCAGATTTACGTCACTGCTCGTAACCAAGTAAATCGTGCCACGAAGATTCAAGCCATTGATGCTGACTTCGCACTCAATTTCATCATCTAATCTCAGGTGTCCCCCTGATGCATTTTTAGCGTTCAGGGTTGTGCGTTTGACTGCTGGTCTCCCAAGCCTCTTCCAGACTGATCTCGAGATGATTGTAATGTCAGACGCTGTATCCAGCTGCAACGTGATAGGAACACCTTTGACTTTTACTGACACGTGCGTTCTCTTGCGTGCAAGTTCTGTGCGAAAGGCGGCGAGGATTATCTTTGCGGCCGGTCCGTGAAAATTGGCTCTTCTAAATTTGGAATTAACACGCATTTTGGGGGATAGAATGTCTGAAATTGTTCACAACTCGGCAGTGGGTTTTCTTATGGCCAATCCGTCTGCACTTCTGACATTGGTGCGTTGTATTGTTGCAATCTCTCACAAAATGCCAGGAGCCACAATTCCAGCGTGCGGTCGGGGGCTTCTGAGTTGATCCAGTTCGATTCATTCCTTTACGTCGGATAGCTGTACGACAAATTTGGGGTTCAGTTTTGTGATCAGCAGTTTCAACCATTTTTGTATCGTGCTTCAAATTAATCAGCCGCTGGCATTCTGTAGTGATATCCTGCAACGTCAGTTGTGGTTCCTGTTCAAGCTTGTGTAAAATTCGTGTGCGAATATCGGCATCAG